CTGCTAATAAAAAATAATTTATTTTAGTTAAATGATCAAATAAAAACGGTAACAGATTTCGAGAAAAACTTTCTAAATGGTCCTGAAATAAATAAAATGATTGATAATGTAACTCGTATATTGGGATTAGATAACCCTCTAGATTTTAGTAAGTTTAAAATTTATAAATACTATACCATTAGTTATCCATGATTTAAGAATTTAAATGATTTTAAATATTCATTTTATAGAAACAGTTAACGCAATGCACGATTCATGTCGACACCGAAAAGCGAGATATATTAATTATGATTCTCCTTGGTGCGCTGTATTTACAGATGATGATTTAAAAGTAAAATAACTATCGTAAAATTAACCTATATTAATAAACAATTATCTACTATATAATTTATAAATAGGTTTTCGAATACTATTATGATTTGAAATATTACTATTCACACGGTTATGGAAACGTGAATAACGTAAAACAAAGTATGGCCATAATACAAGATCTGATCCAAAACTTTGAGCAAGTATCACTACCATGCACATTATAAAACCATAATACTTACTTCAATATCGATTATAAAAAGGAATTTATAATACAGGGATAAATATCAAAATAAAAGCGGTCCAAAAGGAGTGTTTTACTTTGGTCATACGAATAATGTGTTAAACGTTATTGTTGGATTAGGCTACGCCAAGGATACGATACATCTTACAGACACTAACTTCGCAAGCATGAAAGATAGAAAATGGAGAACATCATACTTAGATCCATTTTCGTCTAACATAAGGGCTGTTCTCTACAAATGTGAAAACGAAGTAAAAGTTACATTTTTTATCAACGATGCGCCAATGTATGTAGAACAATATGACTGTATCTTATGTTCATGGGATTCAATCAAACAATTGTTGGATTCACAATATGATCAATTAATACACATATATAACTAATATGCATATAATTCTGTGTGAAATGTGGGGGAATATTTTTTAATATTTCTTTATATTAGTGTGATTGTAAAAATTGATTATTATACTTTAAGTGTACACTATTTGTAGTATAAATAAACAATTAAAACGATAAATATGGTAAAGTTTCATAATCCTTTCAATTTTTTTCCATACAAGTAAGGACAATGTACGAGAAATATTTTTTTCTTACCACCAGGCCCGTATTTAGGGGGGCATGGGTAGGCACATGCCCAGGGGCGTCAAATCTCAGAAGCGGCAAAATAAATTTTAAAAGTGATGTACCTAATGAAAAAAAAAGAAAACAATAAAAAAAAGAAAATAGTATGTTTTATTTTGTTATAATTTGTAAATTTAAAAAAAATTGTATTTTTATTAAATTATAATTTGTTAATTAAAAAAAAAAAGGAAATTGTATGTTTTATTACGTTATAATTTGTTTAATATGTTGATTAAAAAAAATATTAAACGATTTTTTGTTGCCACCGCAATAAAAATATAATTATAATATGACATACCATCTGTCGCGAAACAACAGTCGATCGACACACACGCACACATACACAAACACTCGCGCACATCAGCCGTTATTCTTACATTTATTTTTGTTTTAATTATATTTTGTGTCTTGTGAATTATATAAAATGTATTCATTTATAATTATATATATATATATATGTGTGTGTGTGTGTGTGTGTGTGAACGGGCTAGGAGCCCAAAAGTATAACACAATTTATAATAATAAATACGAAAAATTAACAATAAAGTAAGCAACGCCAAACAATCTAATAGACGATGGCAATTATATAAAAATAAAGATAAAACAAAAGTAAACAAAAGGTAAAAATAATTATAACATATTGTAGTTCTATTAATAAGTTTTTTACAAGAAGCATATATACTAACCTATAGGTGTTCGTTACAAATGCGCATCATACGATGAATGGGATTATTCCTATCGTAGTTGATGTTGTAAAAGGGAATAACAGAAGGAGAATTAGACCTAGTTATGTGAGAGGGAACTTTAAAATCTAAATTTGTTATATTATAGAACCACATTGATTACACCAACCGGGAAGCAAACAAATCATATTGAAAATTCATTTAATGCAGTTAAAGCAAAAAAGGCTCGTATGGAACTAGTTAAAACATCGAAATTTGTTGAAACCAAATCATCACACTCTCGTTAAATAGTTTAGTATTACAAGAAGAATATCGACGATTGTTTTAACTATTATACATTCCTCGAATCTTCAAAGGATGAATTAATAAATTTACTTAAATCGCTATCAGTTAATCAAACCAAATCATCCAATCAAATATAATTTAAAACTAGAAGCTACTTACAAAAGACCACATGTAGATAACTCATCAGAGAACAGAGCATTCAAAACCATAGCAATGGAGATTTTCATGGATACAGATATAAGAAATGTGATTGAAAAATATTTTACAAGACTTCTTCAAGAAGAAGATGAATATATCGGTAAAGAAAGTGGTTTAACACTCGAATGTATCGATGAACTGCTTCTAGGTGTATACAAATACACACCTATGAGTGGATCGTCATATATCAAATTACCTGACGATATCAGAAACAAAAAAGCAGTAATTAATTCACAAAATACAGACCAACAATGTTTTAAATTTGCTATACTGACAAATATGTCGATGGATATTGTAATCAAACCATGTTTATAGATGAAGAAAATCTTTACGATTTTTCAGGCCTTAAATTTCCAACACCTATTACAGATATAAAAATATTTGAGTGGAATAACTTGAATGGTTCAATAAACGTGTATGGTCTGAAACAAAAAAAGAAAAATCACATAATTTACCCATTAAAAGTTGTGGATGAAGAAAATAAAGATGATTTCGATCTCTTACTGATTACCGATAGAGATAAAAGTCATTATATATACATTTCAAATTACTCACGTTTTGTTAGGGCACAAAAAACGTATTATAAAGAAAAAGTTCTTTTCTGCAAGAGATGCTTCACATTATTTGATAATCAACCCCTTAAAAATACATTATATGGACAAGCAGCATTAGATCAACACAATCTGATATGCGGAGTACACAAACCAATTTTACCTCAGTTGCAATCACCCGGTACAATACACTTGTTTTTATAATTAGAAAATATATTAGTATAAAATAGAGTATATAGTATTTTATACAGTATAATTGATTGATTAATTAATATACTAAAATAGTATACTAGCCAATTAGTATACTAATGTAAGAATTACGGGCCAACAATGCTATAGAAAAAAAAAAATAAGGAAACACAAATCAAAAAATGACCTGGCATAATTTGACAACTGGACATCGGCAAAATTGTTAATATTAACAGATAGAAGCATTGAAAAAAAAACGCACACACCCAGGGGCGGATTAAAAAATTTTCCGCCCCTATGCAAAATTAAAATTGCCGCTCCTATCCAGAAAAAAATATACTTAAATAAATGTACGTGTAAGCAACATTGTGGCCACTTTTACGCGTACGTGTAATTATTGGTGGGCGACCAATTGTCGACTAATTCAATAAAATTACACACGGATGATTTGTAGAATTTACTTGTCAAATAATCGTTATATTACAATTATTAACAATAATAATATGGTAACACACTAAAGCGCCACTCTTTGTCCAACTAATGAATGATTAAATTGAAGGTACCTATACGCCAGGGGTGGGCAACTGGAGGCCCGCGAGCCTTTTTTATCTGGTCCGTGCAGGGGCGTATTTAGACTTACTTCTAAGGGGGGCGACTCGAATTTTTTTTTTTAATCCAGGCTCAAAATGTGCAAGTAACATTTTTGGTAATATTTAAATCAGGCGAATTCATAATATTTGTGGTTTTTTTTTAATCTAATGCCGGATCCACTAAGAATCGATTTTTGTGTAGTTTTTTTTTTAACACCTGTCTGTGTTTTGAAAGTTACGCTTGTTTTTTATTTTTATTTTTTTTTCACGAAGTATGGACCCGACAAAAAGCCCAATTTATTAATTTAGTGATTTCACTATAAAATGATCCACATTAAAAAAAAAACTGGAATGTGTATCTTACATTTAATCAATTCATTAAATATGGATCCAGGTGGTGCGATCGCCCCCTCCCTAAGATACGCTCCTGTGTCATGTGTGTTGAATTTATTATTTCGGTGTATATAAATGCTAATTAAAATTCATATATTGAATGACCTTTTTTTATTTTCCTATGGTCTGGCCCGCTGGATTTTAATTTTCTAAAAAATTGGCCATCTAGTAACTTTGAGTTGCCTATCCCTGCTATACGCGGTAAAACTGTACCGATAACGCCATACCTAACAGTTTCTATAAAGCGAACATTTACCTAGACTCTTCGAGATAGATAAACAATATTATATAATATTATAATATTGCTTATCTATCTCGATGCCTAGACTATACATACTAGTGTATATTATCAGTATATATTATATATATGTATTCAATTGTAGTAACTATATTCCATAAACAATAAGATAAGCTGTAATAAGGTACAAATGTAGTCGTCGACCTCATTATCAACGAGTTCCTGGGAAAAAATGAATATTACTTGGCTAAAAGTAAAGGAATACAAAATCCTCATACACCGTTCAAAAATTGTAATGGTAAAATACATTTTAAAAAATATGTCATTTCATTACATAAAAAACAAAACCAACATTCAACAACATTTTTCCCCCTCATGCGGACGCATAATTCGTAGTACCATAAATCCGCCCGTGCACACGTCTCGTACGGCGGGACAATCATTGACATTTCCCCCGCTCCATTAGGATTTGTAACTCTTGATCGGTTTTAAAGGGTTCTAGCATGGCTGGACACTCATCATTCGCACTGCTTCGTTTTATCTTACCGACGATACCGCGGTTTCAAACCTTTCGGCGGGAACAATAGATACCACGGTTTTACCTACATCGTGCTGGAAACGATAACCACGGAACAAATAACGGTCACGTGAGTCATGGGCTGCACGCGATGAGCACGAGAATTACGGTGGAAAAAAAAGAGAAAAAACGCAGCGTCCGACGGCGGCACGCGTTCCCGCCGGATCCCCCCTCGACGACGAGAACGGCGGCGCCGCGTGACGTCAATCGGGGAGGGGTCGGCGAAGCAGCTGGCGTGGGTCACGGATCATCCACTGGTGTCGTGTCGCAGACGTCTGTCCTTCTCGTTCGCACCACAGTGGTCGCCGGTGACGCGTGTACGCAACGTAGTCGTTGTTAATTGTTTTCGCGTGAAACCTCGCGCTCGAGACGCAGACGACGGCCGAATTTCGTTTTACTGTCCTCCAACCGGACCGTGTATCGCTACCGTCTGTGCGTCATGAACGTCATAGGCAACATGTTCCTGTATTTCGCGTACGGCAGTAACTTGCTCAGTCAGCGGATCCACATTAACAACCCGACCGCCGTGAGGATCGGACCTGGTAAACTGAACGTACGCCACGACGCCATACATACTATCATAATCTATTTTTCTTCTACATTCTAGTATGATCATAGTGCATGGACGTTATGCCGAGTGCACGGGGTGATCGGAACACCAGTTCTGTCACACGTACGGACGAACACGGAAAATAAAAATGTATGATTGTGCGATTTCATACGACTTCACCGTTATAAATTCACCGTGTTTCGCACATTTATGCGACAAAATCACTGGGCGGTTTTACATGCATTTCCGATCACCCTTTTCACTTGGTATATGGTCTACGACTAACGTACTCGTCACACCGTCAAATTGTTCAACAATTGTTATTGTAACGTAGGTTCAATGTCATTTTTCTCAACATCCATATAATACCAAATCTAGTATTTTATTCTTTTTGGAATTTAAGTGTAAATATGAATTTTTTCGTAATCGCTAAATCCTCAAGTTCGAAGACGTTTAATTATCTACGTATAAAATAGTGGACCGAATGTTGAAAAATATGAGTACGTAAACCAAAATTGGTATAATATAATAGTTATGTGCCTGCAGATAGAAAACGCTATTTGTTGGAACAAAGACGATATAAAAAAATTACACTTCGATAATATTTTATTCGCTTCAAATTCATAAAACATAATCATATTCGTATTTATAAATAATTTTGTTCATATTGTAAAGATTAAGTAATTTAAAATATATATACTTATACAGTTATACGGATTAAAAATTGATCTGTGTCTATAGTTATATGGCCACAAATTTCATAATACTATTTAATGTAACTTCTATGGATAAGCTTGAAAGAAGCTAAAATACACCTAAATAAAACGTCAATGCGAAGAATTGTTTACACCGATACATCTATAGTTATTTTGACGTTTTGTTTTCAACACTATTTTGCTTAACCTTAATAAATATTTATTTGGATTTCTTTGAATTCACATTCGTTTTTCAGAGCAGAAAAATAAGGCGACGATCAAATGTATCTTATAAAATCGAATGTAGGTATACTACTGTTTTCGCGTATTTACCTATTATTAGTGATATTAAAAAGTAGCAGTGACTGCTACTCATACATAAGTAATTTTATCACGCTGTGATGATATCACAAATCTGTTAAGTTGTCTAACTGTGAAAAATATTTAACACTGTGATTTATTAAATAGTGATATGCGACTATTGCTAGTTGCTACTTGCTACTATAGTGTACTATACACTTGTGTGCATTATATAGTCACAGTGTAGATAAATTGATGTTAAGACTGTGCTTACTAAAAATAGTGGGAGATGGAAGTAGTTTAATACATAGAGCATAGTTTACTAATAATAAATAATTATAACATGGATTGAAATATAATGTAATATTTTTATTAATAGATAATATATATTAGATAAAATATCATTCATTAAAATTACACATATTCAGTGGGGGGGGGGGGGTTTTCATAGAAAAACAAAAACATATTACCTAGTACTGAGCTGTAATAGTTGATACTAAAAGCTCTAAAAAAAAATAAATATTATCTAGTAGAAAACAAAGATTCTTAAAAAATGCGTTTTATTATAAATTATAAACTTATAAAATAATTTCTAATTTTATTGGTTTTCGTCCCAACTCATCAATAACCTCTTCGGTTGTTAAGGGCATTCCACGATATATTGACAACATGGTCAGTCTGTCCTATGAAAATAATATTTTTTTCAAGTTTAGAGTAAAAATAGAATATAAAAATATTTACCTCTTTCATTGTATTTCTCAAATAAGTTTTCACTCTTTTTAAATTTGAAAACATTCTTTTTGGAGTAGCTGTTGATATTGGCAGTGTACATAATATTTTTAATAACATGAGAATACTCGGGAAAATAATTGAATAACACATAGCCTTAATGCATCGATTACATTTGATGGTTTTTCGTTTAATTATGAAAATTAATTTTCATTCACATTCTGATCAATGCTTTTCTTCTTATTTAAATCAGATGAAAAATAATCATTTATTCTTTTCATTGTTTTTCGTTATTTAAACAAATTAAGTAATAATTAATATAACAGAAAAAACATAAAATAACCGACAAGGTTTACTGTTTAGCGTCAGTGATATAACAAGCACAAAATACTAAATAGACTAAATATAATACTATGGATGATCATAATTATTATTGCGACGACGCCCCGATAACAGACAAATACAATGTAATCTAAATATAGTTGGGTTTGTTTTAAACAATCACGAGTCCGTCGGCAATCTAAGATTAAACCACTTCTCAACAGTAACATCTATTTTATAATGCTACTATATTTCAATATACAAGTATAAATATAAAATATTTGATATTTTGTGCTTATACATATAGTATAATGAATGTTATATCGTCGTAATATTAATTTCAAATATTGGCTATTTTCGCAGTTTTAATAAAGGACCTTAAAAAATCAATGGGGGGGGGGTTAAACACCCAAACCCCCCCTGTGTACGCCATTGCACATATTAAAACATACAAATTCGTGATTTTAGATAGATATTTATTAATATTATAATATTTGTTAATTTATTATATTAGTCATTATTCATAAGCAGGGTTCGGGACTTATAGCACTTAAAAAACACAATAACACAATAATAAGCGCTTAAATATGCACTTAAAAACCCTAGAATATGCATAAAAAATTAAAAAATATGCATTTAATATATTTATTATTTTATTAATACCTAATTATTAATTACAATTAGTGTCACATAATATTTTTTTAAAAAAATCAACTGATTGTTTCTTGAATATTTGTGGCTTTTGAATTTTATTCGTCAACTATATAATGATGGGAAAAATTAAAAATGAAATTTAATAAATAAATCAATAAATATATAATTTTACATTTAAGTATGTGCCTTACCTTCATTGTTATATTAAATAATTAAACGTTTCCGCAAGTTTTCAAATGTAAATTCTCTTCGATTGTCGGATAGCAGAGTATTGTACGATGAAAATGATCTTTCGACGTCCACTGAAGTGGTCGGTGCATATTTAAAATACACAAAATCGTTGCATGAATAATCTTCAGGAAATTGACTCATATCCGAAATTTCATTTTCTCCTTCTAAAATGTTTGATATTTTCTCCAGCATTTTAAGACCTTCATTCTTTTCAAAAACTTTTTGTAGTTTTAAAAATACTGCTTTTCCTTGAGTTCCTTTTAATGATTGAAATTTAGATTTTACTTCTTGAATTGCAGTAAGTGAATCGACCAATGGAAGGTTTTTCGTTTGTAATTTTACAATGGCCAATGTAAGGACTTGAAAATTACTTTTGATATAAGCCAAGTTGGTTTCAGTAAGCATAATTTTACTTTTGTAATACTATCTGATTACGCTACATATTATTTGGAAATTTTCATAGTAATAACTTGCGGCTTCGAGCCATGTCCCCCAACGTGTTAAGATAGGTTCTGGTGGTAATCTAATTCCTTGAGCTATCGATTTGAACAAAGCAACACGGTATGGGGCTTTACGAAAAATGTTTTTCATGTTTGATATCAACTCATCAACACTATTGAATTGTCCACGAATTTCTTCAGCTGAAGTGCGTGTGCACTGCAAGTGGTGTGTATCATTTTGGTATATAAATCGTTGAGAACTGATCCGACCTTTACCATGTAAGGAGCTGCATCGGATAAGAATAGTAAGACGTTGTTGTACATAATATCTCTAGGCCATAAAATGGTCATTGCTTTATTAAAGACTTTACAAATAGTATTATGATTTTTTTTTTTTTCTAACTTCGTCCTTGTACATCACATGTTTCATCAACTGTAACCCAAATTTGATTATTTCCAATTTCAATTCTCATTTTATCCATTACTTGGTTGTAAATGTCGTCAAAATATCTTTTTCGTAAGGTAGCTTCAAATGGAATACTTTTATCCGTATGTTTTTCTAAAAATGAACGAAATATTGTGTTTGAAAGTTTATTAAACGGTATGTTCGTGGCCACAATTCCTTCGCATAAATCCTTATTAAAATCTGATTTGGTAGGTTGATTGGTTAACAGTTGTTGTGATTTCCTCTCAACTTGATATTTTTGGCGTTTGGCACTTTTTACGTGTTTTTTAGTTTGAATGTGTTGGCTTACGTTAAATTTTTTTCGAAATTAATCATTAATTCACAAACTTTGCAAAATAATACAAACCTATCAGTAGATAATATTTCAGATCCAAATTCAGATACATAGTTTCTCAAACGCACACTAGTGGATTGTTTTACTTTCCCCATTTCGAGTATAATATTATGTTTACGAAATAATGTACACGATTAAAAGTACGCAGGCGAATACAACGGCGACGGATAAATGTTGCGGACTGAACAAATAATCGAAATTATTAAATAACTATTATTGCCTTAATGGCCGCCAGCCGTCCGAACAATGTTTACCGGGAATACCTTTAGTTTCACAGAACGTTTTATAAACACATTATATAATTATCGTATTGCTCGTACCGCAACATATTATTAATGTTACGATACGGGCCATTATATTTTCTAACCACGAAAATTATGAAGAGTTGTGAGTTGTGTATAGTAAATAGGTACATAAGATTGCATTACTATTTTCTTTTTTAGATAGGTTGAAATTTTAGATAATTTTCCAAAATATGCAAAATAAGCACAATAACGTAAAAATAAGCACATTCCTGCAAAATGTATGAAATATGCAAAAATATGCACATTCAAATTTTAGATTTGGTATCACGGCATTTATTTCGCACTCTGCTACATTTTACAGAAAATAAGAAAAGTATGCAAATGCTATAAGTCCCGAACCCTGTTCATAAGTAATGAATAATAATTAATATTATGTCACATTTACATTAGGAAATATTATCTGATATCACGACTAAATAGTAAATAGAGTAGTATTTTAACTTAATGGATTACTGTGATATTCTGATAGTGAAAAGTAAACATGTAGTTACGCGAATAATAGAAAAAAGCAGTAAAGTAGCAATCACTGTTATTTTCACTGTGATTTTTTTTTATCACAATAGCAATATCACAGTGTGATAAATATTTTTCACAGTTTAACATCAACAATACCAACCATTATTAAGTGGACACCACACCAAAAGTAAAACGTATACAAAGACCGATAGAACGCGCTATTAGGTGTTTTCAAAAAGCGTAAGCACGCGAGCCCATACGTCGACACGCCCATCATTCGTACCCATTACTTATATTAAATTTGTCTTGGTCTAAAAATTCTCGGGGAAAGCGATTGCCTCCATCGCTCCCCTCAAATACGCCACTGGCGGCGGCGAATAAACACATCTACACCGAACGTCACCAGAAACATGAATGTCGATAACAGAAATAACGAATACGATAAGCGAAGACGCGGGCAACGGCGGGAACCGTAAGTCGCAACCGCAGCCCAGTGTACGACCGCGACGAAAACGTATACGGAATAGAGGGGGTAATACGGTCTCGTGTGCTGCTGCGTGAAACGTAATAACTAAAAACGGTCGAGCACAATATCTTTTTGCTTCAAAAATACTTGACTTTTTTGCTAATATATTCGTTATTATTCAACCAATTTTTTCGAAAATGACAAAGGTATAATCTACAAATCATGCCCAATCTATTGATACCACAAACAGACCAATCCGTTCATTCATTAGGTCTGTAGCCCTGGCTAAAGAAAACAGGCAAATTTACACACATTCAATGGGCAAACTCTGGCTCGTGTAATATACTACGGTAGTGACCGCTTCGCTTTTTTTTTACTTAGCTTTGCGCCACTACCGTCGCGCTGGATAAACGTTATGAAATGTACTTTGTACTTACCAAGCATATGATAAAGTTAATCAGAAAAAATATGCAAATGCATGAAGGTCCTTGTTCTAGTTATCACTATCAATGCGGAATCAAATATTTAAATTTGCAACAATGGTTTTGGACGATATTGAATTAATTTTTTTGATTACTTGACATATAAGTTATAAATCATAATAGTTAACTATAATAAATACTATCATTATTATGGTATTATTTAAGTATTTAACTATTATAACTGTTGTATTAAGTCTACGCACTCGGGCGATTCAATATAATTAGTCGATAGGACTGCGGACGCATTCGGGTTAGGCCCGGTTTTTCATTCATCCAATTATTCGCTAGATACGTATCTGTCGGATAATCTTTCAAATAAAGTGATTCCGGTTTTTCAATGTAATTTTATTCTCCAGATAGCTATCTGACAGATAGTTTTCGGCAGTAAAATTATACTAATAGAAGGTAGTTACTGTTCATTATGGAACAAGTTACACACATTTATTTGATTATGATTGGTCAATGATGAAATTGATAAGGAATCGTTCATAATATTGTCACATTATTATTTATTGTAATACTGTATGTAATTACTAATCAATAATTATTAATTTTGTTGCGTGTTGAGTGTTGACTCTCGCTCGATATAAGTTATATTCACTTCTTTTTTCAACATGTCTCAAAAAAACATATCCAAAAAACAAACAAATTTCACATTTTATGAAAAAGAACTTTTATTGAAAAATGATCTACAAAACCGTCACGTATTAGAAAATAAAGTGTTAACTAATAAATTACGAACAACATTTTTTCCAAGTCTGAATCTCATCCTAAAGTCATGGTCATCTCACGCCAGCATATGTTTTATTCTTTCGTATACAGAGTACAGACGACGTCAAAAGTTCAAATATTTAATTGTTTCATAATCATCCTCTTTAAATAAATACATGTATATTGAAATTGAAATTGTGTATATATACACATATATATATTTAAAATAATATGAAAAATTATGATAACTAACCATTTTTATGTTATCAGCTGTTAATTATCCGTCGAATAAGATTTATTTGATACAAAAAGTAACGGATAACTTATCTGTAACAATATCCATCGAATAAGGTCTATCCCGACAATGGAAAACTGAAATTTATCAATTTTTTCTTATCTGTCAGATAACTCAAGTTATCTGATGAGTAAATGTGTTTGAAAAACCGGGCCTTATTCAATATAATTATCCCCTAAAAATGTAAAAGTGTAAACTATAAATATTTTTGCCACCGTCAAAAGTTCATTAGGAAGGGCGGTTTATTTATTTATGAACAACCACCGTTATCTATAATTCGTATGATTATTTTAATTACTAATGCCCAAATAATTTAACAATTTTTGGATTCAAAAAATATTTTAAATTGATTATATTACATTGATAAAAAACAAGGATATTGATTGTTGGTCGTGAACACATATATAAAACAATAAATGGTTGTTTTATATATCTGTGGTCGTGAACTCTAAATTCTTCACGTGTTCTGCCATAGAAATTTACTTTTCGTACAAAATTATTTGGATATTTTATTTTCAAATGGGTGTTAATAAAATATTTTCTTCAATTAATTTCTTTGTAAAACAACTAAAATTTCTAGGTATATTCCTCGTTTAGCCCTCAAAATGTTCTATTTCAGTACTCTTTGGGATAACTTCTTTGAAAATATTTAATTTATGATATTGATATTATTATAAATTTAATATCTTGAATATTTTTATTCCTAATACTTCTAATCTAAACATAAAAAATTTAAATATTGAGCAGGGAAGAAAGAATGTACTTTCTTAAATCTAAATTTTTATTTGATAACTAGGCTTTAACACAGATTAAATATTTCATTCATTTAGAGGTATAAGTTTAATTTTTAATAATCCACCAAGGCCAATACTGTAATCTAGTTAGTAATATTTTGTGTAATAAAAAATAATTACACAACTGTCAATAGTAATTGTGTTATTTTGCTAGTGCACTTTTAGTGAATCATACAAAAAGTTAATAACAACCACTTGCTTTATAATTGAACAATACCAAGCCTTAATTTAATATATAAGTTACATATAAATTGAAATTTCATGTATCTTGCAACAATTTTACACTTATTTAATCGAAAATGCCAGTAAGGTTATCTAATCATATTAGACCAATACTATAGTTAATTAATACTGTTTTTATTTATTTTGATCGATTATTAAAAAACTAATTATCATACATAAAATACTTCATGATATAATAAATTAATAATAATGATTTTATCATAGGGGTACCGTTTAGATTTTGATTTACAATCCAAATTTTGGGAAGGAAGTGTTGCAACAATAGTTCCAGATGAAACAGAACACGTGTGGGGTGCTGTGTGGCAGCTGGATGTTAGCGATATGAAGCATCTGGACAAACAGGAAGCAAGTTATTTGTCATTTGAAGCAAATGTAATAATGTCTGATGGAAATTCCACATTGTGTCGCTCTTACATGTTGAAAAATCATCTTATTAAACAAATTCCATTACCACCTAAAAGAAGACCATCCAAGATGTATCTGAAAACAATACGACTGGGAGCAAACGAGAGTAGTCTACCATTAGATTATATTAAATTCCTCAATGATATACCCGATAATGGCAGAGAAGGTCCTACAATGCCATGGTCGAGTTCTTAGTTAATATTTTGATTAACTTTGAAATGTAACTTGATCCTAGAATTAGTACTATTCATGTTTACAAATTATTTTTCAAAACTACAAAAAACAAAATTGATGACATTTTTGTATTAATAAAATAAGGATTGTTTCCATTTTTAACATAAAACAAACTACTGTCACAACTACAACATTGACTAATATTATTTTTATAAAACTCTATAAGACAGTGGTTTCCAAACTATTGGGTCACACATTCTCGAAACCAAAAAAAATAATCGCGCCTTACAATAAAACATTTTTCATTATTTTAATATAAGCAAATTATTGTCAATCGAATAATAAATATATGGTAGTGCAATATACAATATAAATATTTGCCTTGTGCCTCACAGTTTGGATACTACTGCTATAAGAGATTAAATTGTAGTTTATAGATTGAAGTTCAGTACATAGAGTTCATTAATAAACATCAGTATAATATACTAGAAACTCTTTCATTTTTAAGAAATTATACCACATTTGATCAGCAGTAATGAATATATATGAAACTGCATTATTTGGAATTTACTATATAATACATTATAAATACAATGTATCTTATATTTATATTGTTTGAGCAATAATTTTGAATGTGTAGTATAAATGTGCATAATCACAAAGTAAATCAATAAACTTCAAAATAATCTTTTAACAATATAAACAAGTAAGATTAATATATCACTGTACTAATAATCTAATAACTAAACTTTATTTTCAACAGTTATGGAATCTGTACATTTAGTATTTGAAACAGATATCCTATCAGTCTTTATGTAAATATATGCATCATCATCTTCATAGTTTTGGAATTCAGTGTTAATAATTGTCCATGATGATGTGTACTGTTTAATAATATCTTGTTTCATAGCCAATTTAACAGCTTCTTCTTTATTTAACAAAGTTATTTCTCTTTTGGGCATTTCTAATACGCATTTTACAGCATTGTTAACCTGAAACATTCAAATATTCATAAGATAATAGAAGTTATATAAAAACATGACAATCAGCCAATTAATGGTTATATTGTACATAGATACCTAAAATAAAACAATCAAAGCAGTGTACACGAATTTTTTAAGTAAATTGGATCCTTACATAAATACATTACAATTTTGTTATTATGCACTTTAAAAAAATTCTAGTAATAACAAAAATATTAAATTTTTTATGTATTTAAGTTGTTGTGAAAACAAATAAGAAAAAATTAATCTACAAAATATATACCTGTTTTGAAAAGATCCTAAAAGATTGAAAAGAAATTACGACTTACGAGGTTTTTGTCCGTAACCGATGATATATGAAAAAATAAAGTAAATCAAGAATTTGTTAAAAAAAAATGGGATATACAATAAATTTAAATAAAAAAAAAACATTTAGTATAATACAAAATATAGAAAATAATTCAGCCGAGAATTGTATGCATATGGTTAAAAAAATACCCACTCAGTGTACAAGAAATGAATGATCAATACATTAATTTTTTTTAATATTATAATTGTTTTTGAAATAAAAATGTTTGTTTAGATAAAATTAAAGATAAACCAGGAAAAATGTAATGAATTATTTGATAAAAATAAGCAGGTGGCAGACTTGGAAGATAACATAGAAAAATGTGATGTGATAAAAAGCATTGTAATTAAAAATTATAAATATAAAATTATTTTAACTTAAATAAAAAATATAAAGTAAAATCATATGAACATTGTGTACTCAAAAAATACAAAATTCTTAATGTTCGCTGTTTAGTAATATTTAATTAATGATGTTATGTCACTGGAAGGATGAGGTAAAAAATATGAAATTTAATATGAAAAAGTGCCAATGTGTACTTATATGAAGAGCTACAGCTAATTAAATGACAAAATATTAGATTGATTTTTTTATTACAATGGTAGCTTTAACATATTAGATATTTTTTAATAAAATATTAAAAATTATTATTATTATCTTATAAAATAATTAATACATTTGTTAATAAATACATACCAAACAATATAATTTTAAGGTATAATCACAATCCACTTGAGGCCATTTTTGATTGATGACATCATCATTCCAATTTATTTGGTCCCAATTTTCATTAATACGCCCAGGTGCTGATACAAATCCACTCCATAGAGCAGATGCAAAATGTGGAGCCATTGGAGCTATCATTATTATCTGAACAGCTAATAATTTTTCATACTCTGTACTATATTTAACCAATTCTTTAGAGGATTTCTATAAATAAAAGTAAATTAACATATATTTAAATAAATAAATAAATTATTATATATATATACCCTCAGGACATTTGTCAACCCTTGAAGCTTTGAGATTGCCACACTTAATTGATACGACTTCCTGAAGTTACTTGAAGTTTTTTTCACATAATAATTACGATTATTATTTAATTTAATTTCTTCTTTTTGAAATGCAGATAAATTAATTGTATCTCTCAGAATATTATTATTTTTTCTAACTGATCTAAATTCTCGAATAGTCAGCCATAATCTATTTTGCCAGTTTAAAATGCCAGGGAAAGCTAACATTAAAACATACATATTTAAGTATTAAATAGTTCATTTTATCATTAACTATACTTACTATCAGAATTCCAATTTCTATTTGATGTAGGCGCTACGCTTGACAATATTAATAACCGCATTGTATCTACTCCAAATTCTTTTATGGTACTTTTTGGTTCTACTCCATTGAGTTTAGATTTACTCATTTTTTCCCATGTTGCAATGACTGGATGATTGCCATTTTTGGTAAAATATGTTTTACCTATTTTAACTACTTCATCTTCTTTTAAATATGACCCATTGATTTTATTTTTAAAACATTGACCCATTACCATACCTTGAACCAATAATTTTTTAAATGGTTCTGAACTAGGAGTAAAACCAATAGAATGCAAGAAGTGGTTGAAAAACCTAGCATAGTAAAGATGTAAGACAGCTGCAATAATAATACAATTAATATCATATATTTCAAAAATATTATTAAAGTAAATTACCATGCTCTTTTCCACCAACATAAATATCGACAGGCATCATTTGGCTAGCTAAAGTTTTATTAAATGGTTGAGAATTATTATTAGGATCCAAATATCTTAAATAATACCAACTGGAATCGACAAAAGTATCCATTGTATCCGTTTCTCTTTTTGCTTCTTTGCCACATCTAAAACACTACAATATTAACGTTATGTTTCCATTTCATACATATATTAAGCATATTACTTTGGACAGGTAGTTTTGATCCATTCCTCAGCTAACTTTAAAGATTTAATTTTTTTATTACTTTGTAAGTCAAGTGCTGGTAATTTTACTGGTAATTTATCTTCTGGTACAGCTTGTGCTCCACAATCATTACAATGAATTATTGGTATAGGAGTTCCCCAATATCTTTGTCTAGATATTGGCCAATCTTGCAATTTGGAACTCACTGGATAACCTCCAGCATTTAATTCTTTAGCTTTTTCACAAATTGCTTCTCTAGATAAATGAGATTCTTGGTTTACAGAATAAGTAAAATTGTGTTCTTTAGCCAACTCTTCATCAATAGAGAATGCATGAGGCAAACCTAAACGTGTTTCTTGTCCATCAGGAAACTCAACACGGTTAGTAACTAATATTGGTAACATGTTGCCTGTAATTAAGTTCTTAATGTGTACATTTTTATGATTTTGAACATAATATTTATGAACAAAAGAATTGGGTTTAATATAAATAAATGTGGCTAATGGTACATGTTCTGGATGTTGTGTCCAAATATTAAGCATTGTTCGGTATACATTGTCGGTATATACTTGAAAATCGAATCTATAACCATAACATTCTCCAATCCAATGTTTTTGTAAATTTATAATATCTCTCCAATTCATTAATGATGGATCATTTAACCCTTCAAACAAAGCTCTACAAAAAGCAATTAAAAAATATTGTTACAAAATATAAAAATTATAATTTTCTTTAGTAATAATAAATATTAATTTAATATATATACTATTTACTTCTGTAATATATCTAATTTGAAAAATATCATGCAAACTACAAACTTCATATAATTTAAATAAAAAAAGAATATATAAAACTAATAATTTCAATAAACAATTAAAAATAAGGTATACTTTTATTAGAACATTAATAATTTTAATAATTTTACTCACTTAGAAAATTGTGTTGTTCTTATAAACCATTGTTTAAATATTTTTTTCTCAACAACAGCACCAGAACGCCAAGAGTGTCCTTTTTCATCTACTTGTTCATTAGCCAAAACTGTTTCATCTACTGGATCCCAATTGACTTCAGCCTAAAAAAAATAATTAAAGTTTATTAATAAAATCAAATTCTCTATTTTTGAGTTATAAAATTAATATAATAAATTCCACCTACTTCTTTAGAATAAATGAGTTTTGATTGAAACATTTTTATAAAAAACCACTGAGTCCATTTATAATATGATGGATCACAGGTAGTTACTTCATTAGTCCAATCAAAACTGCATCCAAGTTCTTGCAGTTGTTTTTTCATATGATCAATATTTGAATAAGTCCATTCATCAGGTTTCAAACCATGTAATATAGCTGCATTCTCAGCAGGTAGTCCAAAAGCATCCCAACCCATTGGTTGGAAAACCTATTATTTGTTAACAAATACACAATTAATCTTTTATAAAAATATATCTTATAAAATCTAAACAACAAAACCTAAACACTAGACTTTGCCTTCTCAAAAATTTTTTTAGCAATAATAATTACACTAATATCAACACTAAACTGCTCATTTATAAATCCCTAATCAAACCAGACTTAAGGAGTAATACAAAAAAATCAATTATAAATAAAATATATGCTTTTCAAAACATAACACTTAGAAAACTTTTAAATGCTCCCTCTTACGTCTCAAACCACACTATCTATCTAATCTAAAAATAAAATTAGTACGTGAAGAAACTATTATTCACTATCAACACTTTCACAATCATCTTACCTCCAACAGCAACGGGTGTAACACGATTGTGCACTTTCTACCTTTTTACCTGAAAAAACACAACACCATTGTACACTTTTTACCTTTTTATATATTATATAGCAAATAACAACACGGTTGCATACAAACTTAAATGTGTATATATAACTATGTATATTATATAATAATTTATGTAAAACATAAAATAATGTATGCATGTATAAATATTAATTGGTTAAAAATTATTTTTTTTTCTAAATTACATAATATATATTATCTTAAAATTAATTATCATAAAAAATCATGTAATTTAGAAAAAAACAATTGTTGACAGTCCTAAGCCTGTAATAATTGGGAAGGAAAATTGTGAATTAATATGTAATAATTAATAATTATTTTTTAATACATATAAAATTATACATTATTTTAGGTAGTACATAAATTATTAGACAATATACATAGTTATATATACAAATATCATTTTGTGCCCAATCGTATTGTTGTTTGCTATATAATATATAAAAAATATTATACATATAAAAAGGTAGAAAGTGCGCAATGGTTTTGTATTTTTTTCAGGTAAAAAGGTAGAAAGTGCGCAATCGTGTTGCACTAACAGCGACCCTCTAATACATAATCTTGCAGTCCCTCCTAATCCTAGTAACCTACCCAGATGTTTGAAAAGAAAAAGGTGTTATGACATGTTTAACCCCCCCCCCTTTCATTTCCCTTAAGCTAATCCAAAGTCAGATTCTCTACCAGTATAATTAATATAATTTAAAAAAAAAAACATAAGTAAAGTTAATTCAATAAATGTCATTAGTAATTGACTTCTCACATCAAGCATTGTCTGTAAATATTTAAATATATTATTAATTCTGCATGTGATTAATAAAATTAATAGTACTCGTATGTACTCTACACTAACCACATAAACTTAATGTTCCCCTAAGATATAGATTGTTTATTTCAAATAAAAAAAAAAAATCTTTTATCATACAATAATAACTTACATTCTGTCCATTCATACGATGAAATCTGGCAATTGAATCTGCTATAACATACACCCGAACATGGCCCATGTGTAAATTACCAGATGGATAAGGAAACATTGACAAAACATAAAATTTTTTTCCAGCATTATTTCTATCAAATGTACCTAAACATAGCTTATCTTTCCAGTGTTTCTCAATTTTACGTTTCAGATCTATGGACAACTCTTCATTCTATTAATAAAAAAAGTATACAAGAATGAAAAATAGTATTTGATTGATTAAAAATAATATTATTTTATTATTATTTACCCAGATATCATTACTAAGATACCTACAGTTCGCAGAATATTTTCTGAAAAATCTAAGATTGTTAAACCTAGTCAATATTTCTCTGGTAATCATTGGAAAACAATTGAAAATAATTACTAAATTATCATCGGTACATGAACATGGAAAACTTGCGCTATTTAAAAGCTAAAATGGAGATTTTTTCGTTATTAAAAGTTTATGAATCTTGTATGTATATCTAAGAACTTAATTAATTAATTAAATCATGGATCAAGAAAAATTGTCTATACTTTATCTGGTACTTTACAGGATCAGTAACTAACAACAAAACCCAACCTACAAATTATTTTGATTATGATAAGAGAAGTGTATTGTTGGAAACCGCTAGATAACGCAGTAAATATTTTTTTTCCGGTGGGGTTTGTTCATAATAGAAACATTCGCCGAGACATCACGAGAGCAACCCAGCACAAGAGTGAACTAGACGTTGTGCTCGTGTTGCCTCGCCTCGACGGCGCTCGGTCGAAAGGCTGTTTTTATGTCAAATGACACGAGGCCATTCGAGATGCGAAAACTAGAACACCTAGTTCATACTCGTGCGTTCTCGTTGACTGGTCCAATGAATTTACGTTAAAGTTTTTGGAGTTATACCAAAATGAACCCGTTATATGAGACCCGTTGCATTTGTACCACAAAGACAGGAAACAAATCAACGATGCATGTGTTCAATTAAGTGGACAACTGAAATGTTCTAAATTCGAGAAAAAAAAGAGATTTGATCAGGTCAAGAGCCGATGCAAACGATATTTACAAACTAATAACCAAAGGGAGTAGTCACTGTACCTGAAGCAGTGTTGTCAGATTGGACTGTTTCTCGCCAAATGGGCTACCTCTTAGGTTCTTAGTTTACGTGTAAACGAGGCATCAACGAACCAGTACTCAGCCCTGTAAAATGAACGAGCAAGTAAATAGAAACCGTTTCTATTAACTCGGCCGAGCGACTACTCGCACTACTAAAGTTGACTGTACTCGGCGTGTGTAAACCGCCAGCCGAGTAGATCGCGTAGTGAACTCATTTTTCGCTCGGCCCAGCGAATAAAACGTATGTAGACACTCATCCGGTCAAGCAGCAAAGCGAGTTACTCGGCCAAGCGCCGTGATACCCGATTGAGCAAGGTCGTTATCGTCCGACCTTTTTGACGACCCATTGCATATAAGCATTCTATACATGAATTCAGAACCTGTATTAAAATTAAGCTTTACGATTGATTTATTTGAAAATACCGCCAAATATCTATATTATTAAATAGTAATAATATTGTTATCATATTGTTATCAATTACATCTAACATTGTTATATCTAATTATGTTAAAAAATAATTAAAAAAAAGTTGGTATAGTTAAAAAGATACTGGTGATGAGTGTATAGCATTTTCTACTAAGAGATCACCTGGCTTACGATAGTTTAGTTGTATAGTATTTTATTTAGTATTCGGAAAAACAATTTTGAGTAAAACTCAGTGGATAGTAAATTTTTATAAAATAAAAAAATTCCGTCAAAATGAAAACTTTAAACGCTTGTAAAAAAAAATTGTGACTAACGATTATCGATATTTTTTCATCGTCGTTATATCGTCGTTTATCGTCGTTACATATGAGTATTATTGTATTAAATTTTCAGTTTTTTATATCCAAAGGTTAAAATTGTACGAAGCAAAAACTCACAAAAAACGAGAAATTTCCAATATTTACAAAGTGCTACATTTAGCTCAAAATTGGTTAAATGTTTTTGAAAATTTTAATGAGTATACGTGTGACGATTTTTAGTAGTTGATAAAAGTTTAAAGTTTCTAGCACCATTATTGATGGAGTTATGGCTAAAAAACTAAAATAGATTACACGAAAATCCAGAATATGGCATTTTCTCCGTTTTTGTCTGTTTTTCGGTATTTTACGCCTACGCATGGAAAAACTATTGAGAAATTTGAAAAATGACTTCTCAAGTACCATCTTGGGATTTTTTCCTATTTAGAGAGTTGCTATATGAAACTTTTGGTCCAGTATATCTAACCGAAAAAGTGTTTTCATACATGAAAAAAAAATAAAAACACACGGAATTGTAAAACCAATACATTCTTTGTTTCACTCAGAATCTAAAATGGATAGTGTAAAAGGAAGGTCCAAAAAATAATGAGTGTCCAGCAAATAATAATTGATGTTATATTTAAACTCAATAGGTACTAATTTTACATATGAATTCTAATCACTAATCAGTACCTATAATAGTATTAATGTTATCATACTGTGTATTGTTTTATATAGTTAAATTACAATAATAATATTGCTATCATAGAACTTTTAAAACTTTTATCATTATTTAATTAGGTATTGAAAAAGTTCTATATTATAATTATTAATAGTTATATTATAATACCTACTATAATTGTGTAAATCACAAAGATTAATAATTAACCAAGACCACTGTTAAATTACTCTTCAAATTGAATATTTAGGTAGGTTTACAATATTACTTGAATTAACATTGCACCTTCCTATAAAATATAATAGTATAAGACAATAATATACTAGTTACAAGGTTATTTTGATTTTTGCCTGACAATCACTATTTTTTGATAAATATTTGATTTCATATAATACATCATAATTCTATGATAACAATATTATTGATTATATAAACTATTTGGCGGTATTTTCAAATAAACCAATCGTAAAGCTTGACTTTAATACAGGTGCCGAGCTCATGTATAGAATGCTTATATGCGACCCGATTGAGCACGGTAAAAAAAATATTGTGTACAAAGTTGTCAGATTTTTACTAGTATGTATTGTAGATTACTAATAGGAATCTAACTATTAATGGAAAAAAATTTTGCCATCGATTGATGGGTACCACGGAAGTTTAAAATAACTTTGATAGATAGGAAACCAGAATTTTATCTTCAACGATTGTACTGTTATCGTATGTACCAACGCTGTAAATAATAGCCAGTCTGTTCTGTTGTCTCGTTTCGTTGTCTCCCCACTTAATTGAACTCCGACTATGCTATTACGACAACCCGGCAAAATTAGTCACCGTATGGCTTAATTAGTTTTTACATTGACAAGTAAATAATAATATGAAGTTAATTTCGTACGTAAAACAAATTATAACAAAAAACATCCTTACATATAGAAATTTTATTTTTGATTATAACAAAAATAACCCTGTTTTAAAACATTAATCATTCATCCAAAGCCTAAACTCCTTTGCAAAGGTGGGCATTAACTAGTTAAAAAGTTAATTTTCTAATAAACTTTTTAACTTAACTAGTTTAATTGACAGTTGCAGTGGCGTATTTGAAGGGGGCGATGGGGGCAATCGCCCCCTCGAGAATTTTTAGATTAGGAAAATTTTATATAACTAATGGGTATAGGGTATTTTGAGTATTTCATTAAAAAACAAAAATTCCGAAAAATTGTGTTGATGATAACAAATTATTGGTAAAAATCACGGTTATCTAGATAACCGTGATAAAAATGTACATACATTTTTACCATGACGACATAATATGTACCACAAAGTTTGTGGTACATGTAGATCACTGGCAAACTAGATTCCCATGGGTCATTAGTCCCCGGTAACCTAGTTGATTATGTTTAAGTCGATTCAAAGAAAACAAATCTTTGACTTAAAAATTTAATTTAACGAAATCGAGTATATTATATAAATATATTTATTGTATATTTATATATTTACATTGCTTAAAATTAAAGACTTATTACTTTATAGGTTATACAGGTGAAATATAAAATTCATTGTGTCTTGGTAAATTTGTGTGAGTAGTTGGGTAAACTCTTTTTAAATTCGCCCCCCCCCCCCTCGACATGAACTCTCAAATACGCCACTGGGCAGTTGAAATAACTTAGCTTTTCACAGTTGATTTAAAAATGATCTATCAAGTTAAACATTTTTGAAATTGTTCATTTCTACGTAACAAAATAAAACAAAATAAAATAAATTGTTAAATATTAATATAAAAATTAAATAATCATTTAAGTAAATTAGTCGCATACACTGTACATTAGATGTTATATTAAATTTTGTAGGTTGAGGGCCCACCTTTGGGTATTTGTTTCTAGCCGTGGATACAGAATATTATGTATAAAGAATACTATAAATCATAATACTATAATACTATAAAAATAAATAAATTCGGTGATGAGTGGCCCTTTGATGTATAATGTCATAGTATTTTTCAAAAACATCGGCGCCACTGCTGTATATTATGATAAAAAATGAAATGAAATTGTTTATTATAATTAAGGATATTAGATCTTTATAAAGATACGCAGTGCGATCTACATACTAATTTAAAAAAGTAGATCAACTTTTTTTAAACTGAGTTAAATTAATATTGTTTTCCTTATTAACTTTTTACTTATTGAGGTAAATTTATAAATTGTTAACTGTTAACTTTTAACTTAACTCGAGTTAATTATTTTCATCAAATTTCCCACCCACCTTTGCTCATTTCAAGAAATAAAGATAATATTAACGCTATATATAGACTGATGAAGATTTGGTTAATGAGGGTAGAAAAACGTATACGAAACTTATCAACGTTTAATTTGATTGATTTCCACATTTTTCATTCACTTAACATTTATTTAACTAAAGCATACGTATAAATATTTAAGTATTTTTTTCTTTTATTACTTAGATATTTAAGATATTTTGTTTTATATATGTATGTATACAAGTGCGTATAACATTTATGTATATATATATAGGCTTGCTCAGAGTTCTCAATCAGATGCAGCACTAAGGAACAATTTCAGCAAATTTCCAATATATACATTGTATATTCGTCAGCATTAACAATTTTTAACGTAAAAACGTATGAAGATTAATATATAATATATACATATAAAAAATGTCGTCTGTCGATAAACTTAAAACAATATATATATTATTTAAAAATTCTGACGTCTTAGAAAGAGTAGATGCATCTTAGGCTACATGTTTTGCACCAGTGCGTACATCTATGTGTACTTGTTATACATATATTAAACATTATTAAGCATTTATGTACAATATCTATACATACTATATGACTAAGTAAAAATAATAAGTATCAAATTACAATTGGTAGGGGCTGTCTACCGATTGGTGTCTTGCACACAAATGTCATATTGTATGCTCATTACGATTTACATTGTGACGAATAAAAGACTGTATTTAAAACACGTTGAAGTTATTATTCATGTTAATACGACTTGTAATACGACTTTATGTATTTACAAACATAAAATAAAATTGTATATAAATACGCAGATGTTCAGTGGCGTCGGGAATAAGTAATATTTAGGACAATACCTTTAAATAGTCTAATTTTTTAAATCTAAAATTTATAATGCCATGTAGGTCATTCCGATGGAAATGTTAATACTTTATTTCCGGGCTTAAAATACTTTCACCATATAATAAGTTGCAGGTAGGTATATTATATAATATATTATAATCAATAAAATAATTTACCATTCAAAAATATACAAGAAATTTAAAGTTAGGAGATTATTCACTAACGAGTGACAATACTATTTTCATTATTTATTATTATTGTATTTTATTTTAAAAACGTTGCACACCGTTTGAGTTATAAATAAAACTATTAATGAATAAACGTTTTGTATATAATATATCGTCGTATAATATTTTATAAGTATTAAACATAAAACCAAATTCATGTAACGTCGATTTTCATCATTTGGTTTGTAGATTTATCAAAAGAAGAAAATTCAACCGAAGTGTAACTATACCATAAGTTGCATCATCTTATAGTGTTAAGCTTGAATAACATCTTGAACACATAGATGATAACTTTCTAATTGATTTTTTTTATTAAATTTCATATGTACTTTTTATAATATTTAGTAATTATCTTTGTTAAAAAATAAATAGTATAAGTACACAAAAACAGATACTTTTTTTAGTCTTTAGAGATATACTCGTATTTCTATAATACATCTTCAGTAATTACATTATAGCTTATATTAATTATTTTTATAGTAATTTTCATAATTGCTAGAAGCTAATCAGTTTCCAGAACTGACAATGGATAGTGAATACAATTATAATTCATTGAATATCAGTTCATGAAAAAAGTAATTTCACTAGGTTAATATTTTCGTGTATACTTTGTATGTAAATAATTGAATTGAATAAAAAGGTTAATTTAAATTTGGTGGAAATTTAAGGATAACTAAAAGTTATAGTTTGATACATTTCATATTTTATTTTTTTTTTATAAAAACGTATCGAAGTCGAAGTCAAAAACAATTTAAGTTTTTAAAAATGTAATAAGTATATAAGATTTTAAATTCTAATAAAAAAATTGAATGTTTGATAATCCAAAAGTTATGTAATATAGATAAGTAATTTTTAAACAAACTACAAATAAATTTGATGTGTGGAATACAGATATAATTTTGATATTAGCCATTTGGTTTAAATTCAATTATTACAATTAACAATAGTATTAACAATTTTTGAAATACATATCATTTGACTACTTTAACTGATTTGATACATGTATTTATTTTTTTCTATGTTAACATGTACTTTTGATTACAAATTAATAACATTTTAAAGATGTATCATTTTCATTTAATATTTATAATATGAACATTAAACTTCATACCTATTTTTTTACTATACCTACTATTGCTATTTTTATAACCTTCTTTTAAGTAGGTACCTACAGAAAAAGCTTTGCTTTTCATTTTTTTTTTTTTTTTAAAGATTTTTACACTTTATAATTTTCAATTGTAAATTTATAATTATTTATAATTTTATGTTATGTCACTATAGATAATTGAAATGAAGATACTCAACATAAGGATGTAATATTAACTTAGATGTAGATTTATAGGCTCCCATAGGAGTATCTGCTTTGTCATAAATACTGATTTATAGCATGTTAAATTAATGGTATAGTAGGTATTAGCGTATTTACCCGAAATGTATTTTCTCTTATGACATCCATATACCTACACATATTGAATAAAAATTTGTATCAATGTGTAAAAAATTCAGAAGACAATTACGATAAATATTGTAATTATTACTTATATACCTAATTGATTATTGCACATACATATTTGGTTACTTACATACATTACTGACTTATTTACTATGTATTTGGTTACTAAATAAATAACCTTGAGCTACTTACAATAGATACAAGTACTAGTACAATATTATAGACATCGTATAGGTAGTTCTTGAATCTGAAAGTATTTTTCGCAACAAATAAAATGTTGACATCAGCACGTCACCGGGACTATTGTATCGCCAAAAATATAAAACAACATAAAATTGATTCGAACTATCATAGAACAGAAATTATTTTTTTATGTTAATCAGACACTGACACGCTGCACTGTACAGTAATTTCTATTATTTTTCTTAGGTTTTCAAACATGACGGCTCAAGTATTATTAATGTTAAATAATTGAAGTGTTCATTTTCTAGTTGGGATAGATGGATATAATAATAATTTCATATATTCTGTGGTATTACTTTCATAATCTATAGATATCTAATTATGAATTTAGAAACTAAATCTGGATTAATAAAATACAGATACTGTAATTTTACGAATCAAAATGCAAATCGTACGAAGATTACGCGTGTTCTTAAAAGTGCATTATTCAAGGTCTCGCATTTACAAACTGACATAGACAAATACACCACGAGAGTTAGGTCGCACTATAAACTGGAATTAATTGTCTTGTGTAATATGCAATTAAGGTATGACGTAGAAAACGCAAAGAATAAATCGCCTGTATTATTTACCCCCGTTTAACTTGTTCGTAATAGCACTATTAACCCCACCGGGTCATGTATACAGATACGCCGTTTACCAAGAGTTGATATTTTATATTTTATTCCGTAACACAGTTCACTTGATGCATATATAGTCAACAGTCATCGACACGTGTAGTGAGTGTTTCTAGTAAAGTAAAGAAGTGGTTATTAGAATACAATAATTTCATATATTGATAAAACGACAAATAGTGCGCGTTCTTAATTGTTTCGTTTAATTTCTATGTATTAGAAATCGAAAATCAATCGTTTTAAAATTTATCTGCTTTTGATTAGATGATTTCGATGGAAATATATCAAACATGTCGTAGGTAAGATAATTTAGTGCGCTTTTAAAAAACTTATACCATATGAATTGGTTGTTAAGTAATTAACACATTTAATATTAATATTTTCTGTCGGTATCTTATCTTAGAGCCATGTTAAACCACTTGAAAGTTTAGAACGTGCAGGTTTACAGAAATTAAAATACGTTTTATTATGCCTAATAGTACAATATTGTTATAGCACTCATGAAGTAAATATTAGTTTATCTTACACCATATGAGTTATTTTCAGAGCTAAGTCTGTGTAGTAAAATGTCGCAATAATATGTCTCGATCGAAATGTATGAAAGTAAACAATAGGAATTATAAAGCATAAAGAAAAAACCAAACCAAATGAATCGGTTCTGCGACAAAAAGCCAAAAAATATTTATCTTTAAAATGGGTATGCATTGATTATATTAAACCTATGTTAACATTATCTGCTACAGTTAATATATCCAGGTAACAATTTACAGAAAAATTATCAAAACAAATACCTGCTGGTGTTATCATCGGACTGTCGGTTATGAATTCAATGGTTGTCATATTATTGCTAATGGGGATTGTTTCATTGACGGCCGCGCAGACAACAATCAAATGTTTCGAAAGTAATAATAAGGGTAGAGATAAAAAGAATATTCTTCTGGACTGCTCCAATACGACTGGTAAGAATCATACGTATAGTGTTGAAGAATGGATCCGCCACCATGCTTTTGTGGACGAAGGAATTCTCGCTAATCGTGTTTCGCAAGTCAACCTGGAAAATAACGATATCGAAATGTTATTTACGCTCCCAAAAATGTCATCGTTGAAAAAGTTATCGTTTAAGCACAATAAAATATCCTCCGTTGAAAATCAAGCACTATCAAACTTACAAAATCTCGAAGAACTAGACTTAAGTCATAATTCACTAAAAGGTAAGTACATAGCTTAATTTAAATAAAACAATTTGACAAACTCCTACATAAATAAACGCTCTTAATGCATTTAAATATTAAGTATTAGAAAAAATTAATAATACATGCATTATATAAACATTAAAATAATAATTAAATAGATATGTGAAAGGATAAATGAATATTTAATATATGATAGCAAATAATTTAATTATTAAAATCCAAATTTAAATTCAAATTTATATGGTTTTGTAATAACTTTTTATGAATATTTTTACATACACAATTTTCCAATTTTAGTTATTGTTTTTATAAATATCATTATAAGCAGTAATAATTGTTTAAGATTCATAATCATATTAATAATATTAATGATATACCTATATTATATTGCACTTAAGCTTAGGTTCAATCCAATAAAATTAATTATTAAATTACCTAATCGTTTCAAAAATTAAAAATCAATAATCAATCTAATGAATTATTTAAATGTACATAATAAATTCCGCTCGAAAACATTGTTCTAATAGTTTATTTAAAAAAACATGTATAAATGTTAATTTTTATTTATAAATAATTGATAGTTTCGTTTATTTATAAATAATTGATAGTTTCGTTTATTCATACAATAAGTTGTATTTGTATTTCTAAGTAATTTCAAAATATAAATAAGTGAGTCATTTATTTTGTTCTATAAGATTGTATGTAGATTTGAATACAATTTTCAAAATTAATATATGAGAATAATATTTTTCTTCTTTACCATTACAATTATGTAATTCTTTAAATATATATCAAGTAAATTCAATAGTCCTATTATTCAGTTAATTTTTTATCAAATATAATTCATATATTGTTAAAAAAAATAATGACAGTTAATAATTTTAATCAAATACTATTTTATTTTTTTATATTAAAATACATAAGTATACCAATTATCAACTTTTCAATACTTGATGGTAAATAATAATTTAAAATAAAATTACGTTTAAATTATAATCAATATTAATATTTAAATTAGTGAGATAATTAGATTATATTTATTTGAATCGAATATATCGGTAGTGAGAAAATATTCTTGTACTTTAATTTTATTTAAAGATTGAAAATAAATTATTATGCTTTATACTCGTAGTTAAAAATTAAAAAGAGTAAAACCAAAAGAAACTTAATCCAAACAAATTACTTGTTTTTTATTAAAATACAAATATCATTTTTGAAAATAATCAACTAGGTTTTAGATATCGGTAATAGCGTGTAACCAGGGGTGTTCTCATAGGAAGGAGTGAATGGGACAATCGTCTCCCCAAGCCTTTTTTTCTTCAAATGTTAGTTATTTATTATTTATAACACACATAGAAAATACATAAAAGTCTACTGTAAAATCATATATGAATTTTGTCGCTCCTCCTATAAAAGAGTCTAGTGACACCATCGCATGTAACATTTATATACACATATTAGCATAAGCACACATATAATAGACAACATTTTACACATTTACATTGTCCAGAAGCCGTAGAATAAAATTATCAAGTTTTAGAGGACGATCTCAGGTTGCAAAAATAATTATTTGTATCCATGGAAATTGAAATGGCTATAGGTTAGAATGGCAGATGTAATTTGATTAATTTTCGAAGCATGTGATTCAATTAACTATCGCTAATTGAACGAAGGAGCCTACGGACAAACAACCCATAAGACTCTATTAAACTTTCACAACGACCGTGTACATGCATATATTGAATGTAATATACATCTATATACTTCACATAAGACGTTAGCGAGCATCCTAAATTTGTCGGGAGAAAGCACTGTTGAATTTAGTTCATTTAGATTGTCTAATTATTAATTAGAGAATTAATTATACTTTAGGATACAGGGTTAGCAATTCACTACGCGATATCTTAAACCATCCGAATCCTGGTACATTTTCAATATCTCATAATAACTATAACGCTTAATAAACATATTTACGTCATAGATGATGTTAAGAATCGCAGGGAAAATATTATTTTTCTAATAATTATTTATCATTATATTATTTACTCGTGAATACACAAAACGTTAAATATGTAGTTCACACATTCGATTTCTCCATATATTTTGCTATTAAACATGCACCACGGTTCATTGGATATAAAAATGAACACGATACCATAGGGTATAATGTCATTATAAATTATTCACTAATCACATTGATGGTATGGACTGGAACAAAAATAAAGTATGCATACATTAAAGAAATATTTATATCACTAAGACTGAACTAGGTAGTGATGATTGCTTATACGTAGTTTAGAATTGTGGTAATACAATATGAAGTAGATACTAGTTGAAAATTTATGGAAGCGAGTTTAAAATTCGATTCAGGGACATTTCGAATAATCAAAGAAAAATTAATAATTCAAATTAATATGTTGAATATTTTTATTACAACACATATTTATTATTTAATTTAATTTAATTTGTGAAGTATCGATCCACACTTCTAATTAAGTTTATTTGAGTTAATATTGAATTAATAAATTCGAATAATTAAGTTTTTAATCAGAAGTATTAGAATTGTAGAGTGTTGTCTCAAACTTAAATATTTTCGATTTATTGGATAGTCCGAAATACATATTTACTTAAAATTACAGAGGTTTTTCAAAGGTCCAAGCGTTTATTTCGACCATAGAGGTTTATGAACTACAGAAATTAGAATTATCGATTCTACCGTATAATTATTTATATTAAAAATTGTTTTTCGGATTTGAATAATATTTCAGTGAGAGAGTTAAGACCTCTTAAAAATTAAAAAAACTTTAAATACTCATAATATTTATATCCTTAAGTAACCAGTTTAAAATAAATACTTTAAAAATAATCGATAGTTAATTTTAATATGAATATACATATTCATTCATATAAGTATTTATATATTATATATGTACCATTTGTTAACATTTTATATTGTATAATATTTTAAAAAGTGCAAACACTTTTTAAAATATATCTTATTTTGTGTAAAATATTTTTATATCTATAAAGAAAAAAAACTAGTTGTAAAACTAGTTATAACCGTTAATCGTGAAATTAGTTCAGCTATTACATCAGAAAACTAATTTTTATTTAAATTGGTCTCAAAACACATGGGTAACGACAAATTTAATCTAATATAATCATTGCTGTTTTTTTAAAGCTTTGATAACAAAAATCTTCTTTTTAAAAAAAACGGCCAATTGCACCGAAAATCCCAGGTAAAGGAAGAAAAATTATGGGATGGAAAAAAGGTATAAATCTATTGCGCTGGTATAAAACTGATATTATTTATAAGTATACATCTTTTGCGCCGATCGATATTCGAGTTAATACATTTTGCGATTACGTTATTGATACATATATTGATAAAAATGCATCTTTTCCCCCGTATCTCTGGTCACCGTGTAACATATCAGGCGAAAGAACAACAAATGCCTGTAAAGCATTTCACTCAGCGTTTGGGAAATATTTTATTTACCCCATCCAAATATTTTTGTTTTTTATGAAGTTGTAAAAATAATTTAATGCAACAATCATAATACGTGTCCTTTTAGTTATCATAAATAAACTAAAGTCTAAATTTATGATAAAAAAATAAATAGTAAAATAGACATTACAAATTTTAATATTAGACTTAAGAACTTTTCATGATTTGAAGGATTAATGTATATAATATATATATATATAATATACTATTAGTGTAAATACCAAGTATGTAGAATGATAAGTTTGATTTTAATTTTAATTTTTGTTTTTAGCCATTATGATTTTTACTTGTACTGTATAGTTGTTATACCGGCGTATAAGATGTTTACCTTTTAAATATACCCTTTTTATACTGGCGCAATAGATGTATAACTTTTTAATATATCCTTTTTATACCGGCGTAATAGATGTATACTATTAAGGTAGTGTTCCAAATTCGGCGCATTTGACGAATACCGGAAAAAATAATGATCATTTATACTTGTTAATACATTTAAACATATCTTATATCTATAGAAAATAAACAATTATAATTTATATTATTATTTCAAAATTTTATTACAAAATATTTTTAATAAACATTTACGGCATGAATTACGACTAAATGTACCGTTCTTACGAATTTTAGTGATTTATTTTATCAATTTTGGATATTAATACATGAAATTTGAATACTAAAATAATTAGATTATGTTAATATATTTTTAATATATAATTAATAAACAATATTTATTTAAAAGCATAAAATATAAATTAATATCCATTTTCAAGTTTTATCAGTATATGATTTATTGTATTTATTTTATTGTAAAATAATTTATAGTTTTAATCATTATACAACTAGAAACTTAATTTATTATATTTAAATATTATAAATAGATTTAATTATAACTAATATATTATGTTGTCGGCAGTGTCATGCATTATCTAGATAAAATATAGTTATATAAGATAAAAATATTTTATCTAGTTATAAATTATTTTAAGTGTCTTTATATTTTGTCTAGATAAATAAATAGGCCATCTGAGAATAATCATCTAGATAAATTATTATTCGGTTAATAATTTAAATATTTTTGACCGATTTTTATCGGTATACCGATATTTTTTTTATCGATATTTTAGTATTAATAGAAGACATCACGCCCGGGAGATGCGTGATTCGTTTTTCATGGGAGATGATCGGTCTCAAATGTGGATACTTAATAGTAATAATATTACGACATATATAATTATGATAACAACTATGATTTATGCCGAGTACAAATGTTGGTCCTTTAAAATGTGTCGTCGATGGTTAGTTTTGTCATTGGGGGAAAAACATTTTCATCCATAAATAGTTTACCCGTTTACGTTTACACCACGGTTTAAGATGTACATGTTATAAGATATATATCTTAAACCGTAGTTTATACATATGTGACTACCTAGCTACTTAATTTGTTAATATTTATAGTACGTTTTATATACATAAAAATACGGAGAAAACCCGCCGGAGTAAGCTTGAAATACAAGCTTGAAATAAATTTTAATTATCTGTTTTGTCATCTAGATCAGCGGTTCTCAACCTGTGGTCCGCAGCCCTCTAGGGGTCCGCGATATTTATGTCAGGGTTCCGTGGCAGCCCTAACACATAACATATATCAATACATGACATGTGCATTATTATAATATTGTTGGATTAATAATATTATTATTTTTTTCATATATTTTTTTTTATATATTAGATAGATTTTATCATTATACGATGTTATAAAACTTGTGTCTCAACCATCGTATTAAGCTATTAAAAATTAAATTTTAAGAATATTAAAAAAATTAATTAAAACTTAAATAATTAAATTTAATTAACTGAAAAATTAAGGGAAATAAAAATAATTATAAATATGTATGTTTTGTTATATCTACTATCGTAATTTATTATATAAAATAATTATTATAATTTTGGCTTTAATAACAGAGATGTTTTGTAAAATTAAGTATTCGATAAAAAAATTAGTAAGAGGGTCCACCATTTCTAAAAATCTTTCATCAGGGGTCCGTGATCTATAAAAGGTTAAGAACCGCTGATCTAGATAAAAGTGATTATCTTTTATCTATTATCTAGATTCATATTTTAAGTGTTATCTATTTATTTCATCTAGAAAAATTAAAAATCAATTATGTGTCATCTTATCTAGATAATTTATTAGTTATCTTTGTACAACACTGGTTGTCGGTACAAACTAGGCATCTATTAAACCCCTGAAAAACTTATGAATAACAAAATATTTAAAAGACATTTTCTCTTTTCTTACTAGATATTTGAAAAAATGACTGATATTACTAAATGCCAATGATATATACAGTATAAATAGTGTTTCATCTATACATTTTTTTTATATGCATTTATAATTAATTCATAGGTTACGAATTACGTCTATCCTTGTTTTTCGATCACCAAAGGCAGAACGTATTAATAACGAATGACGAATCAATTCATTCGTCAAAATCGGTGCTCAAAGTTCTTAAACTTGGTAACAACAATATCCACTCGTTAACACCGAATTTTTTTGAATATTTATCGAATTTAGAAGAACTCGAAATAAGCAATAATCCTTTGTCAGTTATCGATCAAAATACTGAACTTGCATTGGGTTATTTAACAAATCTTCAGGTAATATGAAATAAAATTTTCCGTTAAATGCAATTGACTGTTATTTGAATATTTCGATTTTCAGTTTTTGGATTTGAGTTATACAGGTTTATCAGAATTCCCCGAGGGTATGTTTTCCCATATGTCCAATGTTGAAACCCTATATCTCAAAGGCAATGAGTTCCAAAAAATACCGAACGAGATTCGAAGTATGCCACTGGCTTTTCTTAATATGAATGAAAATCCTATTGTTTGTTTGGACAACAAATCATTCACTGGTTTGGATAAACTTCAAGAACTGATTATTAGTAGTTTGCATAACTTGACTGATATTGGAAGCGGTACGTTTTCGCCACTAAAAAAACTAAACATACTGCATATGGCTCAAAACCCTAGCCTGTTAAATATCCATCCTAATGCTTTCGGGGACTATACAACAAATAAATGGTCATTGCGACAAGTATTAAACGTTATATTGAATTAGCGATTGATCATTTTTATAATTTTGATTTTTAATTTCAGTTAATCATCAGTAACACCAATTTGAGCAGTCTAGATTCGAATCTTTACCCTTGGGAAAAACTTGATTGGTTCGATGCTAAAGATAATCCGTGGATGTGTGACTGTAGATTATCGTGGTTGGCAAGTTACATCAATGAAACGTTTGCTGAAATGCCAGAAGAACTTTTACATTATCGGTATGTAAAGACTATAATTTTTTTATGATAAATTCATTTTTTTTTAACCGACTGAAAAACAATAATTAAATAAATAAACACGAGACATAAGATTCTCAATTACATTTAAGGTATACGAGCATTTCAAATCCATTGAATTAAAATGTAACTCTAAAATAGCAACAGTTTGAGTGTATTTTCTCTGGTAATTTATTAGAAACATTATTATTCGTAAATTATATTATCTTATTAGAGTAAACCTACACTAATATTTAATTCCATAGTACGAGTAAATCATGTATAAGTTATTTAATATTTTAATATATATTTTTTATAATATTTATAGAAATTTAAAATTTTTTAGTTTTTTTTTAATATTTTTGTAAAATGTTTATAAAAAATATTTTGGTTGAATGAAAAATGTTGAAAATATAATACAAAATTCCTCGACCTTACTACAATGAAAAATACTCGGCAATTCATTGACACAATTATTTTTTTAAAAATACTTATTATCAAACTATGATCAAATTCTATAAAAATACAAATATCTACAAACGTTTTGTAATTAATCTATTGCACCTTTTCTACCGATAATCTTTTTAGATTCTGAGCGGAGCGAGGAATGTAATGGTTTTACAATGATGTTTATTTCTTTTTCTTTTTATATTTTATTCTGTAAACACTTTTTCTTCCTCTAAACTTGCTCAAAAGTAATAAGTGTAACATCTTTTCTGAAAGGTAATGTTCTTGAGCTGGTACTTTAAAGATGTTATTTTTCGATTTTCGAAACGGTACTCGAAATGAAAGCGATTAAAGGAGAAAAAACCTACGATTTCTTGATTTTATATTAGTGTTGGTCAACTATATATTTTTAATTATCGATGTCGTATTTTTTTTCCGATATCGTATCGCGATATCGGAAAATTACCGATATCGATATCGATTTAAATAACAACATAACAAGTTACATTTTATATAATTTAGTTTATTGAAAGCACATTAAAACTATAAAATACATATTATATTAATATATTATTAGTGTAAATTAATTAACTATTATAAATTATTTTGTACTAACTGAAAAGTATCCAATGTATTTAATCAAAAAATTTCTTCTTCAAGCAGTTTTTCTATCAATACACCAGAACTTGGTTTCGATTTGAAAAATGAATTCAAAAATAACAGTTGGTTGAGTCACTCAGGAGATAATCTATTTCTTTTCTTGGATATAATTGTTCCAGCTTTGCTAAATAACCGTTCAAAGTATTTTTTGGCTAGTAATGATACTGCTGAGTATTTAAATTTGATTTTTTTCCATCAATTTAAAAGATTTTGATCATATGGAATTTTGATGTTCAAATTTCTATACTCTTCAAGTTGTTTTATCATAGGACTTAAAGTTACTGAATAATCGTCTTCGTCATCATCATCGTCACCTATCATTAATGATCGTAATTTCTTACGAGGAGGAGAGTGAGTTTCAAAATTGTTTTAATTTTCTAATATTGATTCAGAGATTTATTCTTCTTCATTTTCTATTTCTGGATCAGAAATTAATTCTTTCAACTCATTTTCAAGTTATTTCCAAATAGTGTGTTTTTCTTCTTCCGATAGAAATTTTAACTCTCAAAATCTTGAATCTAATGCAGATGCTTTTGCTAATATTAATCCCATAATTTCTCTTCGATATATTAAGTCATCTAAAATAGGTTTTTTTAACCATAGTTAAAAAATTAATGTCTAGTTCACTAACTTTTAACGTATTTAAAAGACTTTTTATCAATCTGTGTACTATTGACGCAGTTGTGTAGTTTTCTCCACCTAATACTTCTGTGACAATTTTAAATGGTTCCAGTAATTTCAATGAATCTTTCATAAGTAATAAACCATTTATAAATTTTTTTGTTTTTAGAAATAATATTATAAATTTAATTTTTACACTTTAAGACACTATCAATCATGTCACATGTCGAGTTCCAACGAGTAACGCAGTCTTGAACTTGTTTATGTTTTTTTCATGCTAATTTTTAAGTTAATTTTGTGCAGAGGCACTTCTATTAAAATGTTCCACTATTTTTCTCAGTTTATTAATTAATTCTTTTACCATATCATTTTGGAGCCCTGCATTTATAGATAACTGTATAGAGTGAGCAGTACATCAAACTAAATATGTTTGGTCCATGTAATTTATAGCTTTGACCATTTTGCAGCATTATCACATACAACAGCATTAACATTATTTCAATGTTCCAAAATTTAAGAATAGATTTTAATTTGTTGACGATATTTATTGAAGTGTGGGATTCAGGAACTTCCACTGTTTCTAAAATGCGTGTACGTAAACACCATTTTTCTAAATAATGATAAGTTATACCTAAATAACTGTGATTTACCAGTGACGTCCAAAAATCAATTGTTATACAAACATGTGGAATATTTTTTAAAAAAACATTTTAAATTTTCTCTTTCGTGTATTGCAGTCTGTTCAACAAGTCTAGTTATTTTTTGTTTACTAGGAATTATATACTCAGGTATGGCTATTTCCATAAATTCAAGAAAACCTTCCCCTTCTATAATACTCAAAGGTCTTAAATCATTAATAACAAATTTCATCAGGCTTTTTGTTATTTCCTTAGCTCGTTTAGTTTTGTTTGGAGTTTGCTTAAAATATGGAATCAAACTGTTTGACGTACTTGGTTTTGTACTTGAACATTGCTGAAAATGTTATTTGATATAATTCGTATTTCTACTATAACCAACAGCACATTTCCACTTCTTACAAAAAACTTGATTTTTATTTGATATAATTCCCTTTTCATTAACTTTAAATCCAAAATGTTGCCATGTATCACTTCTAGCACCAGACAACGGTACTAATTTAAAGTTTTCACTCATTTTATTTAATATAAATATAAAATAAAGAACGAAATAAAATAATTACGACGTTTCACTGCGAGTTAACAACCGGCACTGAATTTAGATTAAATTGTTTGATGTGGTGAGCTATTTGAAATAGCTAATTTATTTTGGAATAACCTATTTCTTTGAAACATATCGCCTCATATTATAATTTAGTATATACTTTACACTTTTATACATATAATTTTATTTTATACTGTTTACTCAATTTAATTAAAAAATACCGAAAATAATTTAATCGTTCGTAAAATCTCGAGCTCCGATTAATCACACCGATATCGCGATATTTTCGATCATTATTTTTAGATATCGATATCGAAATTATTAAGAAAATATCAACGATATAGATATCGTATCGAATTATCGATATTGTTGGCCAATACTATTTTATAATATTAAATAATTATGGACGACATTTTCTACCAGAAATATTGCTTCAAATGAAAAATGACATGAGATCTTTTTTGTTGTATTTTAGATTTTCTTCCTTAAAGTTTAAAATTCGGAAAATGTTAGCTATTTTTTAGCTATTTATAGACATTTTAATTTTGGGAATTTTTTTGTTGTACTTCGGTTTAAAACATTCGTAAAAACTTTAAATTTGGGTTGTTTACTTATAGTATCCTTACCTAGACATGGTAAAATTTTCAAAACATTTGAGCGACTTTTGAGCTATTTCTTTTCTTTTATTTTTTTTTTTTTTATGATATTTCCTAATCATAAATTATGATTATAATTATATTAATTACCTTATTTATATAAATCGTTTTTAAGCTGTTATTAAAACGTTTTGTTTATCACCATAGAAACGAATAAAATTAAATAAAAAAGATTGCATTCAAATCGAACACAGTAAAATTACACTACCATGTCCGAGTAATTTTTTTTCAAGAGTAATTTTACATTGTTTAAAATATAAATTCTCCAGTATCCACCACTTGTATCTCATCCAAATCTTATATCTTATATATATTAAATGTAAGTAAATGTTATATGATAATATAATAAATAAAACGTTTTATATTGAAAATACTAATTCTTTTTTTAACTACAAAATTATTAAATAAATACCAAGTATTAGATGATATACTTAACATTACTGAATTTTTAAATAAACGACAAATTGTTATGATCATTAAACATAATTATATTACACAAAATATGTAATATGTTAACTGAAATTTTAATATATTATTACATATCTTTATTTGAAAGTAGTAACATGATTGATATAAATATAGATTAACCGTTTTATACATTATATTTTCATGCTGACATCTTCATAAATACTATATATAGTTTGGTACTTGTTATAACCATTTATTTATTCCAGGTGTCATGCGCCTAGAGATATATCTGGTATACTAATATCTCAGCTGAATAATCACATTGACTGCAACGAACCTGACAAAATGCATCCTAATAATAACATCCACAGTCATGTCACTCGTCTCCGACATTTTATTATTGTCATCGGTTTAGTGATCAGTATCCTCGTGTTTGGTTCATTGATAAACATGTGTTGTAGGGAAATCAATAAGATACTAAAGCCCAGGTTGCATGTTCCGTCCAGATTCAGTTCCGGTGTGAAATACAAACCTGCAGATTTCGAAGAGAACCTTGAGCCATTAGAAGTGCCAGTAAAAAATATAATGATTCATGGACGATCACCTATAGTCATAAACAACACAAATTTAAATTGAAATTTTGCGACAAAGAACATGTTTAAATCGATAAATAGTAGCACTAAGTCGAGAGTCTTTAATTATTCTTACGTGCATTACGAATAGTTTTTATAAAGATCGTAAAGTAAGATATTCTACCATTTATTATGAATTGTATTACTAAATTTCAAATGTATTTGTAATCAGTATAGTTTATATCGTATGATACAGTGTGAATATAACTATACGTTTAGTTAAAATAAAATACCCTGATATTTCATACATTGTCTCTTAACATTTGGTTCAAAACGTTTTCTGAAGCGATCTCAATTTACACATTCTTGCTCTTAGAGGTCTTTAGGGTCTTGTCACAGACTCATTGCATTGAGTAAAAGCACTTTTTATTCGTTTTTGTTAAACATCTAGTGGGCTTTTGACATAATGAGTTTGTCTCATCACATACACACGTAGCTATAATGAGGGCAGAACGTCAAGGGGTGTGTTTTTTCTTTTAGTTCATTGTTTATAAGAACCGGAAGCCCTTGATGCCGGTTATTGTTGTGTTTCATGTGCCAAAATGCTTTTGTATACATGAAATTGTTTTTAACCTTGTTACTAAACCTGTGTTCATATTGTTTAAAAAAAAAAAAAAAATTACAAAGGAAGTGAGAAGTTTTTATCAAAATAATTTTCATAAAATAAATTTTACATCAATGTTTTAAAATATTTAAAACGTGTACATTTTGAACATGGTGATTCCACCGATGTTTTAAGACTTATAATAGATTTTCATCGAAAAATATGTTTAAAATTACTTGAATATTTTACTTTTTAATAATTAAATTCATTATTTTTGAATATCTGAGTTTATAGGTGTGAATAAAAAATTGAATACAGCTAACTGTCGTTTATAGTTTATGCTAAGCTGTTTCATTTACCAGTAATCGTTTTATAATTTTTTGGAATTAATTGCGTTTAAACAGTTTTGTTTTACGATAGGTAATATGAATAATACAATACAATTGTAAAATTGGAACTACGTTAAATACATATTTTATATATATATAGTGTATTCACTAGGATGTTTTGTTGCCCAATGAATACCTAAGCTATTTATAAAGGTACTCACTGAAATGCTTATAATAACGTCACAGTCTTGAATACAGTGAATAAGGTACGTATAATTTATTCATACAATATCTATTATATTAACAAATTAAAAACAATCGATATGCGTAGGTACGTGTTTATACACGCCGGTGAGAGAGCGTGAGAGAGAGTGAGAAGAATGCAAGAGAGTAAATTGTGCGCGGGGTGCGCGTACGGAATTACCATAACGGTTAATATTCATAACAGCGAGTCGTGGTATAAGACGAACAGTATATAGTATATACGAACACTTCATCTAAAGTTCCGGGTGCGCACCTCATCGTCGTCGTCTACACGCACGGGAGGGCGCTCGGGCCGAGTTCATAACCTCTTTATACACACAGCAACTATGGTCCCTTTAGTATTCCGAGGCTCGGCTCCGTCGGGTCGCCCCGATAGACAATGGGCTAAATGAAGAACGTAGACATGCCGCAAAAAGTCCGGACCCACCCTTTGCCTCGTGCACTACAAAAATCACCACTTTACTACATACCGTGTACCGTATGTTTTATTTCGTGTATTATTTAATATATTGTATAAAAGCCGCGTGCTCAGAAAGAAAACTCAACGAAATGATTCGATTTACGAGCGCAGGTTCACGCACACTTCCTTTCCGCGTGTACTTTATATAATAATAATATACTTTATGCTAAACGTGCCTTTTATAAAATAATAATAATACGGTGTCGTACGACTCGGTAATACGTCGAAATGGAGAGCGGACTATATAACCGCTACTGATGCTATAACCCGATTAAACGCCACCCTATACACACACACAAACACACATGCACGCACGCACACTCACATAGTGTATACATATATAAATAAATACAATATGTATTCAATGTCCTCGATTCCTCGCGCACCATGTCCCCAACAAGATTGTACACGAAACGAATCAAAACACGGGCACCCTATTATTATTAAAATAGAATTATGATGAGGGAAAAATATCGTATCCCGCCAAGTCAATATGTTTTTAGCGGACCCTTTTGAAATCGGCAACAACGGTGCCGCATCACGCAGAATCTTTCCCTTCGTGACCTGTTTGTTTTATATTAAATCCCTAAACATCGAACGCACTATATACGAACCTGCTATCGAACGGAGAAAAATATTATTAATAGCTATTATTATACACGGGATGCACCTTAATACTTATAATATCCTTTATTATACTTTTAAAATGCTTTCATTGTATACAATATATGCTATATATGCTATATAAAAATTAAACTCCCTGGTATTAAAAAGCACAGATTTCTTAATTTTAATTCGTATTGAACTTGATTAAGTTTTATATGCATTTTCATCAGTGAAATTGTTTTGAATAATAACACGCGTTACAGGTGAATCGATTTATTTCTAAGCCGTGTAATCTTGGCCGTGCAAATATAGAATCTTTAAGAAAATGGAAAGATTTGATAATAGAAGATGTAAAAAAGTATATATATAAAATCAGAATACAGAATCTACCATAGAGAGTATATAGGTTAAGAATGTAATTTTCTTAAAAATGAACATCCATACGATGATGATGTCAACAACACCTCAAGTTAGGTCAGTTATCATTTTCATAATTTTTTTATTTAATTGTATTAGCCACAATGGGTAGTTCGATGGCTTCAGCTTCTGTACAACTTTGGAGTTGTGTGGGAAAGAACTCTGCACAATGTCAGCGTTCGATTTCGGGAATGTATACATATACAAACGAGGCCAGTTTTTCATTTATACATTTAAATGGTTCTGAACGTTACTTCATTTATTGAACTTTTAAGGATTGAACTACCGTTGCGCGTAGTATCTTAGGTGGATGTGATATTTTTTTTTTAACCATTGGATCCTTGATATTGTATTGTAATGTATACTCTGTTTCAATGGTGACATTATGCAAATATGCATTTCTGGGCGAGTTATTTGAAATGTTTTAACTTTCCCGGAATGATTGCATTAATAATAATATCGTTTTCCGTACACGGGGGAAGTCTAAAATAAATTGTTCATAAAAAAAAATTAAAAAAAATAATCTACTTGATTCTATTGTTTTATGTTTGATAAACAGTTGACAGTTAGACGGGCCACGCGCCACGTATGATTTTATGTAAGTATTGTCGAATAGGCGGCACTTAAACGTCGAAATTAATATTACACGCAACATTTTAATAATAATTGTAATGGTTCGGTTAGGACGCACGAAGCCTCAGAACAGACCCCGCAAATTCATCGGACATTGCGGACAATTTAAAGAAGTAATAATTGACGTTGTGCACGTTGACGGCTAATTAAGCGGCATTAGAGCTCTGACATTCTCGTATTACTACCGGGTTTCCGGATATGGGTCTGATGGACGGCGCACGCGCAATTCGAGAGCGACACGCGCCGTTTACTGCACGGGCCTCCCCCCGGGGACTCGCAAACAGATTTAATGGTCGGCCGTTATATATTTGCTCTACAAGAAGACATGAACCTGACTGTGATATACCGGGTTCGTGGTACACTACGCCGATTTAAGAATCGTTGCGAACGTAATAACTAGGGCCCGGATTTAAATGCACTTATTATCATAAAAATATGCTTTAAAAAATAGCTAAAAATGTCCTTAAAAAATGCATTTTACCACAAAAATAACCTTAAAATGGCATAATTTTTTTAATTTGGACATTATTTAACACAATATTTAATACACTAAAATCACATTCACACGTAATACGAGCAACGTCTGCGAGGTAATACGAACTAGCTGATTATTTGTTATTTGACCGGATACAGGTGACGTTCCATAGTCCATAATAAATTAAGATAAGATAAAAACCGAATCGAAAATATTTTTTATTTAATAAAGATTGACAATGTGTATGGAAAAATCCGATACACCTATTTAAATATCAAGAAAATAATTTTTCTCTTGATTTTATTTTGAGTAGGCTATATTTGTTTAGTATATCGAACAAATATGAATTAAAAATTAACAAAATGACCCAATAATACTAAAAATGCTCTAAAATGAAAAAAACGTCGAAATATGCAAAAATATGCAAAATAAAATTTGTAGTTTTGAAACCCTCGTTACATGTAACGAATTATGTTCTTAAAGAGCATTGTGTATGATCAACCAAAAAAATATGCACTTTGCATTGAAATCCAAGCACTAGTAATAACATAGCATAGCCAGCCAGTAATGCAATAGTACAAAAACAATATGTACCTATTATAATCTATCGTAATATATGTGAACGTCGTTCATATTATGATATTGCGATTTATATTTACTATTAAATATATACATATACATATATATATAAATTATTATATTTATTTATTGTAGACGCACAGTCGAATATTTTTCTGAATGCCGAGTTAGTCAAATAATTCAATTTTTATGCAATTTTACTATTTTACCTAATCACATATTATCTCTCGGCTATCACTATATTATGAAACTGATAAATAATAAAGTATGAAACATTTTTATAATATTTTTAACTAACTATGATACTACTTACTTATTATTATTCTGTAATTATATAAAAAAATTTTTTTTTTTCAATGTTCAACAATGATAAGGGTCTCTAATAAAAAATCGCGTACATTTAATTTTCAAAAGTGAAAATGTATGGGTTTATACATTTTTATACTGTTGGTCGTTAGTTGAATGATAACTACCTTACTATACTTTATTATTCGAGTATTTATATTCAATCTGAATAAAAATAAACAATTAATCATAAAATTAAACATTTTTATAATGTTTGAAACTATAATTTTTTATTATTTGCGCAGTTCGTAATGATGAAATTGTATAAACATTTAATTCTTCGATTATTTTCGAAACATTTTTAGTGAAATGTTTGATTTGACTATACGCTATGGCAGGTATATAATTCTATGATATTCGATTATTACATGGCTTTCAATTTGTTATTAAAATTGAATTGAAAGTATAATGCATTTTACATACACGAAAAATCAAATACCGTGCATATTAATAATATATACATCATATTGTATAGATAATATTGTTAAACGTTTCAAAATTAATATGAACACAGTGCCGTAGTAATAAACTGAATTATTATATCATATAAAGTAAATACACTTCATTATGACAACAGTTTGGTTATTTAATGTTA